CCAGAGACTTTCTCTATGGAAGTCCGGTGTATGTACTGTTTATTTCACTTGAGGGAACAGTCAGGGGATTTTGATGTATGAAATTAGTAGACGAGGTCTTCTAGATTGAAGTGGCTAGCTATACTCGGTCAAGTAGTAGTCCACTGTCTTAGCTAACTGATCAAGCCATCTCCTAATTATCCACACTGTGACCTCAACCTGGACACTTCATCCTCAACCAACCACCTTTCTACAATCGGTCTTTCTACCTCTGTCTCGAAACTCTCCTACATTCCGTTCCATCTTCTACTCTTCGCCTTTGTATCGAAACTCTCTTATAGATTCCTTTGGATCTTCTATCCTGTATCGGTCCACGGACCAAGCGTATCTCCAGCCTTCTAACCACCGCGACCTTTGACACCATCGGTAGATATATCCTGGCCATCGTCGCGCGAAGGATTAAATCAGGCGTCGACGCAGGCTCTATTGTTTTCGTCGACAGGCGACAATGGCGCGATCAGAGCGAGTTCTCGCGCCCCTGCGAGCGGCGCATAATGCACAATGAGGATTATAACGCGCTCCTGTCATAAGCAGATGCCGATCTCGATCCCTGCGCGCGGGCCCGGCATCCCTAATCGCGTTCAATTGCCGTAAAAGCGGTTCCGAGGCGGTGCTCGTAGGCCCATGCATCGCTGCTCCTCCGACGGAACTTGGTATATTCGCTCGGGTGACTTCGTGTTTCGCTTTTGAAAATTGCCAAGCAGAAACAGAAGATGTTTAGATCTCGTATATTCGCTAGAAGATCGTGTTTTGGTTGCTTTGGTCGCTTCCTGAAGTATCAAGGATTTTCTCGTACAGGATTTGTTAGCGTTTGCATTTTACATTCTAAGCTACCGCGTTCTCGTGTTTGTCTTATTTGGTATCGTCTTCCTTGGTCCGATACACCAAACATGGCTGCGTTTACATTCACTGATCTCTTCACTGCGCGAACCGATTAATTCCACTTTTCGACAAAACCTCAAATTTAAGTGTCGAGACACTTGGTATAACTTTTCGTATCTATGATAACTTTCCTGAATAATACAGAATAATACAGAATAATACAGAATAATACAGACCTAATCCAGACCTAATACTATTAAACGACAACATTTTTGCTGGCCATTAGAAAAGTAAATAATTTCTTTCAATTTTCTTTCTATAGATCGCATTTCTCAATTTTTTTTTTTTTTTTTCTACGGAGTTAATCGATTCTATCGTTCTTCATCGATCCCCTTCCACGAATCCTCTCGTGTCTCGGATCTTCCTTCGTCGTGCAGGCTCCCGACGCATACCTCTAGGTCTAGCTTTCAAAGTCCATCAATTTCTCGCAATTAATTTCTCGCAAGCGCTTCCTTCTAAAACTCCGTCGACGCAGCCGTTCGGATTGTTCCTTGTGTAATCGCGAAGCGGAACCGCGCAGCGCTGCGATATTCCTTTTATTTAAAGAACTGAACTTTGTTCCCCAGCCAGAGGAAAGACTCAACGGTCTCCGTCGGAATGCTGAATTTTGTGAAAAAGTTCAGAGCCCCCGGACGCGTTTAAAGCGAACCGAGTTTTCACATGGAGAAACAGTACAAAGTGTTTTCGCGCACTCGCGAGTTTTCTCCGACGAGGAAATCCTCTTAACTCCCGAGTATGTTTTCTAAAGAATCTCTTTCCTGAAACGTTTAACGACCGCTTAGCGATATCGTCAATCTTCCTGAATTACGTCTTTGTAACTCGGACAACCTTGCTGCCACGGTGTTCTCGCCCGATTCAGTTTTAATTTCACGAGAGAACAGCGATCCCGTAAAAATTCGTAATTCGTGAATTCGTTTCGTTAAAAAATCGGAGTCCGGAGGGTGTCGGGGCTGAGAAGGAGGCCCGAGGAGGGAGGAATCCCTCTCGAAGGAATAACAGACTTATAATAACTGCGGATTATGGGTTTAGGGGTCCGTGGACAGTTCCAGGTTGCTTAAAACGTACACGCGCGACAAAAGGCTCGCGCTCGCCCCTCTTGTAAAAATATTTGAGTTGCTACCTGACGACAGTTCGCGCACGAAAACGCGTCGCCTTTATTTTCCACGGGATGGACCGCGACCGTTTTCGATCCAAATGTCGCTTGGGAACACCGTCGTAAACGAGAAAGTATCTAAGGATTCACGGTTATGAAGTTACGAATTTTAGAAGGCAATTAAGTGTTTGGGACTTGAGAATATTATATCGATTCCATGCTACCCTATGCCGAGCGAGACTCGACGGAACTGAAATCAGACAATCTGGACCGCAAAGGGTCGAAGGATCTCCATGTTTATACTTTTACATGTACCAGTCAGTCCCATAAATATTCGCACATAAGACATAAAGGGTTATGTCTGTCGAAGAAATTTTTTTTTAAATTAAATGACAGGTTTGATGTTTCCAAGTGTATGTTTGTATAAATACGTCGATGATTTAAGCATATACATGATAAAAAGATTCACGGTGAAGAATTCATTTGGTAATATCGAAACTATGATTTAATTAAGTCAAACTTCTTCAATAGACACAGAAGGTACGAATCGTTTTATGGAATCGACTGTATCTTGCTCTATTAATTTCATTTTATTACAATTTTATTACGAGCTCTGTAATCTCATCAGAAACCTTGCGTGTAGTACATACTCACTCGAAGAAGACTGAAAAGAACAGTCGAAACGTACCGTAGAGGCCTGAAGAGATTTGCCCACGAACGATCGCAACCCATGGCGATCTCTCGCGTCGCGACCAGTATCAATTCTCCCTTCGATCAATAAATTAATTCGTTATACAAACAAGTCCCTTGCGAACGATCGTCTACATGCGAGTAATTCTTTGCGTTGCAGGTGAAAATATGGTTTCAAAATCATCGATACAAGTGCAAGAGGCAAGCCAAGGAGAAGGCGATGGCGGAACAGAACGCTCAGAACCAGGTATCTACTCGTCCAAGAAAACCGAACCACCACGAAATAAACGATCTTTCCCGATTCACTAAAATTCCAACGACAGAACCCTTCCTGCATTCGATACCGCGTTCGGCACCGTTCGCGCAACAAATTACACTCCGTGAACGTAGACCAATCGTTGCCGATACCGTCGGAATTCGTAAAGCAACAACAACAACAACAACAACAAAAAAAAAAAAAGAAAGAAAAAGAAGAACTATCAGAATCGAATTAAATTCCGTCTCTGGCGCGACAATAATACGCGTCGGCCGAGAGATCGGATTTTCGCGAGGGATTTCGAAACGGCGAGACACACGCGAGCGACGACAAAATATCGAGCGTTTCGAAATGAAATGCTTTTAAATGAAAAATGCCCTGCCCCCCCCCCCCCCCCCCCCCCCCCCCCCTCTTCCGTTTCCCCCCGCCGGGGTTCGAGGGGAGGTTGACGCACGAATCCTCGCATCCACATCGTATTTCGTTTCGAGTGGACCACTCGACCGGCTCGAAGCGATTCTGCATTCATTCCGTTATTCCATCCAAAATTTTTCAGGGATAACGTTCCGCGGAACGACGAAATCGTCTCCGTTGAAACAGGTAATTACCGCGCGGCCCGCGCCATAATCGCTCCGGTTGCTGCGACGATCCACGCAGCTACGAATTCCACGTTTAATTGACGCGGAGGAGGGCCAAATAAAGGAGGACGGAAGTAAAGAATTCGGGGACGACTATGGCCACTTGTTAGTGGCCACCGTTCGATAGGGTGAAGACGCGTGGATTTAGGCAGTAGACGATAGTCTCACCCTCTGTATTTAGTGAAGGAATTTGTATTAAATTAAAACGATAGGTTCGATGTTAGCAAGTAAATTTTTCGTCGCGTACATACTACAAGCGTAAGGTTTATCCGTGTATATATTCATAGCGAAACATTTATTTGAAAACGTCGAGCCTGTTATTCGATTTAGACAAACTTCTTGAACAGATGTAGAGGGCATGCATAAAAGTTGAGTTTCGTTGAAACTTTTATCGAAAGTATCGATAGATAGATGGATTTTGTCGATGTTTTATCGAAAGTATTTAGAAGCACTGGAAAAGTAATGCGCCGCTCTGGAGGACTAGCTTCGATAATTAATTTCTGAGAGTGTCGCAAAAGGAATAGGATTACTGCTATCCCTAAAAAGTATCGCACCAATTTGCCACTCGGATAGAACGTTTCTGTAGCTTCTTACAAAAGCGAAAACACTCGAAAGTTTTCAACTTTGTTGTTGTCGCGGCAAATGAGGAATACGAGCCGTATATCGCTCCTCCCCGTTGTTCCCTGGTTTCCCATTATCGCGACCAACCTTTTTCCCCTATTTTCCCGCTTTTTAATCCTTTATCCTCCGGCGAGTAAGAGAATTTGTTTACGCTGCGATTCGTTAGCGCACCGGCGACAACTGGTGAACAAAAGGAATAAAATGTCCGCTTTCGAGTGTTTACCTACGCGTAATATCGTATGGACCGTCACAGTTAGAGTTTCAAAAGGGAAATTAAAGAGGTTCTCTCGGTAGCGATTCGAAAATGATATTTTACCCTCTCGGACCTGAATCGTTTTCAATTTTGTAACTCGAATTTATAATTCGAATTGTAGAGTTGACTCGGACTAAAATTACCGTGGTAATAATAAGAAACATGCGCACGAGTAAGTCAGTAATTTTTAAATCGTAAACTGCAGGTTCGAAAGAGTTAAAATCCAAAGAAAAGTTGAAACTTAAAAGTAAGTTTCGTAGTCCTTTAACACGTCGACTGCCACGCTAATACTCCTCAAAATTTCTACGATTCAATTTTATTTACAAACTACTGGAAGCTACATAATCAAACGTTTATCGTGATATTTATTTTTGTCACTGTGATTCAAGTATTTCATTCAAATTTCTTTCGTTCTTGACACTCAATCTTGACACTCAATCTTGACACTCAACATTCAAAACTAATTTTCATCATTCTTCGGTGAAAATAACCGTCACCCACTGATACGTGACGGTGGCGATCAACGTGTTAACAGTGCTCCTATTTACTACATCTAAATTGAAAGCAAAGAAACTCTTAAATCTAGCAAAACTACGTTCGCTGAAATTCTCGTAACCCATGCGGGTTGCAACGAAGCTGCAGATAGAGATCCATCGAGGGATCTCCTCCCTCCTCTCTCTCCCTCTTTCTTTTACTTTTACTTTTTTTTTTCACGTTTTATCGATTCTAATAATGACACGGCAGAGATTCCCCGGGAGATATCGTAATTGCGAGTTCGAAACGTGCCCTGTCTCGATCTCGTCGCACGCACTGGCGAATACGAATCGCTCCTTCAGCCAGCTCCCTCTCGTTCTGGAAGAATAACATTCAAAAGAGACGTCAGAGGCCACCGATCGTCCCGATACACGCTGATTCCCAGTCCACCGAGTGCATTACTGCCGCGAGCATGCGGGATCACGGATGTCTCGGCATGCATTAGCGGGCAAATCGTTCGATTCGTGGTTAGAGAAACTTTTTCGCTCTTTTGCTGTGGCTCTGGATCTATTCCTGGTCTATTAATCCACCAATCGCACGCCGTACGGTATATATTATACATTGTGTACTCTGCGTCAATCGGAGAAACTTGCCTAAACGAAATGCTAGGTCTGACGTTTCGAAATAAAGGATTCATCGTAAATATGGACACGAACGAACCTTGCGCGTGTACTTACTTATAGGTACTTACCTATAGGTACAGAATGAGAAAACTTATTTGAGAACGTCAAACCAATTATTTAATTTAGACAAACTTCTTCAACAAGCATGGAGGATAGGATAGGGTAGGATAGGATAGGATAGGATAGGAATAGCAACCCTTTGACTGTGAAAGGCGTACGCGTATATCGCTCTCGAGAAACGGGCTCAGAGAGATGTTTATATCCGTTAAATTAATTTTTAAATAGTATCAGCTTATAGAGAAAGGCTAAACGAAACTTTTTGATATGTACAATCTGTTCGCAGGACGCTTAGTTTCGAAAATAAAAATTGAAAAGTCATAGGACCTTTTTTTTTCTTGAAATTCAATTTCTCCAACGAACTTGTGATTCCTCGATTTTTACTTTCGAAACTATGCGTTCTATAAATAAATTGTAAGTATAAAAAAGTTTCGTTTCGTCGTTCTCTGTAAGCTGATATTTTTGTTTTTTTTTTTTTTTTAAATTCACACCCGTACGCCTCTTGGAATTTCGAGTAAATATCGTCCGGGCAGTCCAAAGGGTTAATGGAGCTGACCGTGCGTCGATATATTTTTTAAACTTGAGTTTGCGAACACGTCTGGTCGAGCTAGAATTCTATTGACCTCCGTGTCCTGGCCTACTGTGCACCGTCACTTAATGGATTTTATGGGTTAGGTGGTAGGTTTACTTTGATTAACATGCCGTCTTCCACTGGCCACTGTACGTCCGCGTGTCTTAATGTATGCTGTCCTCGTAGGAGGTCAATTTGCATTTACGTATTGCAATGTAGGTTCCCTTAACGGTACGTCTGCGGGTCTTGGACCAATGTCCACTGATATTCTTGTTTGTGGAAGCTTCAGTCGTCGATCGAGGCCTCGGTTCGTTTAGTCGGTGGTCTGTTAACCTACCAGTCTTCGATCTAATCTTATCGCTGTTTCGCCTAGATTTTTTCACTTTTCGTTCGGCAATTTTTGTAAAATACGCGCCGGCACTCGACGCTAGAGATTCCGGGGCATAAGCGGATCCTCGTGGCGCATTTTTTTCGGCCGTGTCATCGAAATTCGATGTAAACACGCTCGAACCCACTTTTTCCAGGCGACTGATACAAAGTCATGCGTTGCGCTACCTTCCGCTCGAAATGGAGGCGAATCTGATGCCGTTATACGTGAGATCAATTAAGCTGCTTTGGGAATGGTTTATTGGGAATGGGAATGGTGATAGGGATTAAAAGTTAGGCTCCTGTACTTGTTGTCAGTCTATGGTTGGTATTCTCATAGTGGTACGAGTGACAGAAGCGAACCACCTTCTCGACGGGATTCGAACCCGGATTCCACGGAGTTGTAGCCTACTACGTTAGAGGCCTTGCGTTAAACACCATCCGGTATTGCGATGGTACTATAGCTTCCATTGGGTTGTCCGAAAAGTTGGTGTTTGGCAAATTTTTCAGAAAAATTCAAAGACACATTCAAATTTTGATACACATTTTTATCGAATTATGTGATACATTACAGAGTTTATTTCAAAGGGTGTACATATTTATTTTCAACTAGTCTGATATATTCAGACCTGTACTGCTTACTTTCTGGACAAACCAATATTACTTGAACCATGGAGGATGGAGGTCCACAGCGTAGGACTCACACAAGATAGCGCAGCTCTATTATCGGAACTGGCTCGGACCTATAATCAAGAAGATTCTCTCGCATCTGGAAGCTCCCACAGCTCCTAACGCAAAGTACAAAGTACCCATGGCCAAGTACTTGGCCTTAAAAAATCAACATCGCTATCCCAAATCCCCCAAAGAACGATCGTTCTTTCGATCCCCTTCCCCCCCCCGTTTCCATAGACACACGCTTAATTAACCATTCCCAATTCGTGTCGCGTTACGAATCCTCGACACACAAGCAAGGCCTCTAAAACACGTCCAGATCGGTCGAGATCAATCCCATCCCCTCGACATTGTCGCCGCCAAGCGGCGGCTCGTAAACACCCATAGAACATTAATGGTGCTGAAAGTTATCCGTCGTCCCGATCTGTAAACCGTCCTGCCCCTCCGATTCGTCCACGCCAGGACGAGCAGCCGCCCCATAATTTACTCGTTAGTTTTTCGTAGGCCCACGGGCGGACTCCTCCATTCACTCTCGGCCCTGGCCCTCTCCCTTCTCCTTCCTTCCTTCACTTCGCTTGTCCCTGGTTCTCGATTTCAATTCCGTGGCTTGTTTACCGTTCCTCCCCGATTCGGTTCGCGCAGGAGTCTCCCCGTTCCAT